TCGGCCGCGGCCCCGCAGAGCAGCCGGTCCAGCACGGCCTCGGCGCCCGCCAGCAGCCGGCGCAGGTCGAAGCCGCGGCGTCGAGCGAAGACGCGGGCGATGCCGCCGCGGGTCAGCAGCGACAGGATCTGCTCGTGCACGAAGGCCAGCTCCCGCCGCAGCTGCGCCGCCGACTGCCGCGTGCGGGACACCGACACCAGCAGCAGCGGGCCCCGCTGCTCGAACACCAGCGTGCGGTCCTCTGCGGGGGAGAGAGGGGACACGGCGGTCACACGGGGCCGGGGGACACGGAGGGTTTGGGGGCAGCCAGAGGTACCTGGACAGGTGTCATTTTGGGGTGTGCTGTTTTTGGAGAGTGGCTGTATCAAGGTAGGGTTTTTAGGAGGGAGGCAGGACCCAGGAAGGGGTTTGGGGGGGGATGAAAGTTTTGGGGGGCTGCTTGTACCTGGGCAGGCTGATGTGGTAGATTCAGCTGTACCTGGGAGATGTTTTGGGGGTGGGATGCTGTGTTTGGAGGGGGCTGTTTGGAGCAGGGATGGCTGTACCTGTGGGGGCTGTTTCTGGGGGCAGAGCTGTGCAGGTTTGTGGTTACCCACGGGTGCATCTATATAAATTTGGGGGTTCTGTGTCCACCCCCCACTGGCCCCGTACCGGAGCAGATGGCCCGGATGGCATTGCCGCCGCTCTGGATGAAGGACACGAGGGCCATCATGACACCCATGGTGGCCGCCAGTGCCTCCTCGTTGCCGTGCCGGGAGTAGATCGGCTTCCCCGCCTCGCTGAGCACGAACACGTGTTTGCGCCGCGCTCGCCAGCCCGCGGCCGCCACGTCCTCGTCCGCGCCGCGCCGCCCGCCCGGGGCCGATGTGGCTGCCGCTGCTGTCACCGCCGCCGTCACCTCCTCCTCTTCCTCACCAGGGTGACACACTGGGGATGTCACTGCTGCTGTCACCTCCTCCTCTTCCTCATGATGATGCACTGGGGATGTCACCGCTGCTGTCACCTCCTCCTCACTAGGGTGACACCCTGGGGATGTCACTGCTGCTGTCACCTCCTCTTCATCCCCTACAGGAGGACGTGCTGGGGACGTTGCTGACATGGTCACCTCCTCCTGACTGGGTTGAATGCCCGGGGATGTCCCTGCTGCTGTCCCTGCTGTTGTCACATCCTCCTCATCCCCAAGTGGGGGACACCCCAGGGATGTCCCTGCTGTGGTCACCTCCTCCTCCTCACCGGGATGACAGCCCTGGGACGTTGTGGATGCTTCTGCTGTCACCACATCCTCATCCCTGCCACACGGCCCACCTTGGGATGTCATGGCCACTGCCACCTCCTCCTCCTCCTCACCACTGGGGTGGCACTCCAGGGACACTGTGGCTGTCACCACTGCTGCCACCTCCTTGTCCTCCTCCTTCTCATTCCCAGCAGGGTGACACACGGATGATGTCATGGCTGCTGCTGATGTCACGTCTTCCTCCTCATCATCCCCACTGTTGTGACAGCTCGGGGACGCCGTGTCCACTGTCCTCCCTGGCTCCATCTCTGCGTCACCTGCGACCAGCAGGGGGCGCCGGGGCGGTGACCGCGCACCTGAACAGCCCCGCCCTGCCCCACCCTGCCCTCACCAAGGGCGGGCTCAGGGGTCCTGGGCACCTGTGGGGGAGGTGGGGCGGGGTCACCAGGGGCGTGGCTCCACAGGCCACGCCCCACCCCTAACCACACCTTGTGGACACAGCTCCAGCCCCACCCAGTAAGTCCCAGCCCTTGTGGTCTTCTCCTAGGCCACGCCCACTGACATAAAGCCACGCCCCCACAGAGCCTCACCCTGTAATATCCCACACGTGCCTCTCTGGTCACGCCCCTACAGTGAAACCACGCCCCCAAGAGCGTTAAGCCCCGCCCCAAAGAACTTTAGCTCCGCCCCGGGAGCCCCGGGGCCACCGCGCCCCCTCACAAAGCCCCGCCCCCAGGCGAGATCGCCCCCCG